TTAGGTCGTACATACCTGTGTTCACACACCATTAGTCAATACAGTGTACTTACTTGCTGTGGCGTCACTCTCGGTGTAATTGCTGGACTTCTTCTCTCAGCTCTCTCTTTCTCCTTTCTTTGTTTCTCTTTTTCTTCTTCTTCAAACCGGCGCATATCATACTCTATCTCACTTGCCAGTTGCCTGTCTGCAGCAAGAATATCTACAACGAATACATTACATATACTGAATAATATTATACATTCAATACACAAGAATTTAATAAATTTCAAAAATACAGAATTGTGCAGATTCATTCTGAATGTTTCGTTTACAACACTGTCACTGCACGTCACTGTTTATAACACAACATCACTGTAAATGTCACTGTGCTCAGCACTGAGCACCAGACAAGGAATTTAATTTCATGAGGTTACTAAATTTTGAACTATTAGGATGGATACAGCTATATATCCATACAAGGACAAACACAATTTTACACACCTTTGATTTCATTTTTATAGTCTTTCATAACTTCTGCTAAATGAAGCATCAAGTCCTTCAGCAAAGGTGATCTGTGTTTCTCCAACTGCCAAAAGTCAAAATTCAAAGTTAAAATCTGCAAACTCCCATGTGAATTTAAAAAAAAAGAAGTTCTCAACAGTCAGTGAAGAGAAATGGCATTAGAGGTTAGGATCAGCCAGCAAATGTTCAGTAAAAATAGTGATAGTGATAATTGTACCACGACTAAATTAAATACATATCATGAGTTTAAAACAAATCTAATATTAGAGAAATATATCACTTCCATGACTGTTATTTCACACAAATATGCTTTATCACGATTTCGCTGCTCGGCACACTGTCTAAGGATATGTCAACTTTGTGAAACAAACCAAATAGAAGATGAGTACCACTTTCTGTGAGTCTGCCCTTTTTATAATGAATTTTGTGATAGATATCTACCCAGTTACTTCTATGATCCACCATCTTTCAACAAATTTATTCTTTTAATGAAATCACATGGCGGTGTCATTTTGAAACGCCTTGGTGAATATGCATTTCATACATTAAATGTTAGGTACGAAATTTCAGATTTATTGTAATATTTACTGTCAAATGCACAAATGTTCTTTGTTTTGTAATCAATTTATGGGCCGAAGGCCTTTAATATTTGTGAATAAAGACCATATACAGGTGTCAAATATATATGCAAATAAGTTACTTAATATGCATGGTCATGGCTCCAAAACTAATCATGACTGCACATTACCCCCAAGGTACCTTACTAAACTTGATCAAAATCTGCTAGGAAGTTTTTGGGATTTTGCTTACACAGACAAACACTCCAAACTTGTACAGTTTTTAAAGACATCAAACTGGAGAATTTGTACGAGTCACTATAAGTTGATATCATTTTCACAAGTAATATGGCAAATATGCAATTTACATGGCATATTGTATTAGCTCTGTAATTAGATGCGCTTGTGTGCTTACATAAATGACAGGGTCGTGTGTCTGCATGGTCAAAACAAATCATATTATAATGATACAGTATACAATACACGCAATTTATGGTTGATGTTTGCCGTGTATTCAAGAAAATATGGTGCATGTATAAGGTTTCCTTATGCTAATAAGGTATTGTAGTCCGTGTCAGGTATTTATACATGTATATAACACAGGTGAGAATACACACTTGACTTTATGTGGTATGAATAAAATCAAATAGGACATGCACCGATAACACACGGGATCAGATAATGCAACTCTCCCCAATTTTAATGCTATGATGTATTGTGTGCAAAGATTGAATGAATGAATAGGGGATTTTCCGTACAATTGCGAGATCTCGCGAGATGTATGAAAAACGCGCATCGAACGTCTATCGCAAAAATCGAACAATTTGATTTTGAACTAGAATTTCTTTATTTCGTAGCTCACATCGACCGGCCGATCTTCGACAGAGGAATATTGCTTCCGAATACCCTTACTTAATCAAAATTGCCTATCATCAAATGTGGACAGCACATTATTAAGTATGGAAATGTCCTCCAAAATACTTCACGTTTGTCGAATCCCACGCGATGTTTGACGCCACTACGACGCTATGACCTTTGTTTGTCCTGTTTTTACGTTTGATTTCACGCATAACGCGTGAATCTCGCAGTGAACGGAAAATGGTCTATTCAGTCTCTGATGTATCTTATCAATGATGACAAGCCATACAGACAGATGCAACCCCAAAGTATTCACACTTTGACAAAACAGTCAGGGATATTTTATTTCCTGCTTAATATCAAATCCTGCAGCCGCAATTTGTTATCGATTTATAGACATCTTTTAAAATGCAATCAGAGCTTCCTTACCAAGTGTTTGAGTGTGATGATGATTGGTACAATGTTTTCCATGACATTCTTTTTCACAGCATGACTGATAATAGTTGTTTTTATTTTCTGTTCAGCGACACCTGCCACATCAGCAACCTCCTCATCCATATCGTCACTTGCTTTGCTTCTCAGGGACGTTAATTTGATCTCCTGCATATAGTGAAAATAGTTGTGTGAAATCATTGATACAGCAACAGTCATAACTAACATCATGCCCTGATCACTGCATACATGGTGCGGAACAGTTGTGGTAATGGTTCATACATCATTTCAAGAAAATTGTGGCACCTTACAAGGACTGGAATAAAGTACCATGTTTCTATCGTTTAGTTATTTTTAACCCATTAAGTAAAACTTTGTCACCTTTCACCAACATAATTTTTTTCTTATTTTCCCAAAAATGTTGATCAAGACCTGAACTCAATAACAAATTATACAAATTATGTTCTTTTGATTAAAAAACAGAAAACTACATAAATATAGGCCAATTATTAAACTAAAATTTTAGCATGATAAATGAGGGTGCTCAAAGTTTAAAATGTTAGTTTATTAGTCTATAAGTGTAGCCTGTTATACCAAGTGCTGAGAAAAGAAACACCACATATGTGACAGATAGCTTACCATTTCCATCAGACAAAGCACCATTCATCAATTAGGCCAAATTGCATTGAGTTGAAAACAAAAGTAGGGTAGGTAGGAATAATTTTATTTTATCATAACATTCTATTTTATGAAAATTAATTAATTATTCTCAATTTATTATTCCTCAATGCTACCATTTTGTTATATGAGAGTATTTTTTTCAATACATCTTGCATGCACAGCTTGACATTTTTGTTCAAAAATGAAGAATTTCAAGTAGAGCTGAAAGGTGTATCTATAAGTGTTCATTTTTAGTTTGGCCATAAAAAGATACTGGGACGTACATTCTCAGCTGGGAATTATACCAGATTGTATTTTACGTTTTTGCAAATTATTTCAGAAAACAAGCCAATATCATAAATTGTATGAATTTGTTGCCTCTTCAGAAGTTACAGCGTAACATGCCAGCTGACGTTCAGGGTTAGTATAATAAGGTACCCATGTACTTATGACCATTTATTATATGATGTAGAACAGGATGAAATGATGTAGTGGACATACCTTAGAAGCGAGAATTGCTAAGGAATCCCTCAACAGATTACAAGAGTTTTCGTCATACGGCATCAGGTTATCAGCAACAGAACCAAGTACCTAAGAGTAAGAGATTTATAAATCACCATGTACAAGATAAAATGTCCAGACACATACTTTCTCTATTAGAAGCTCAAGTCTAAGAAGCAGCCACATTTTTTACAAACAGCATGCGCATGTGTGACACCAACCAACACGACTATATAATTTGTATTATTATGCAAGGACCCATATTTCACAACAGCAGCAACGAACATCACAATATACCTCTTGTCAATCAAATATTATGCATGTAGAAAATAAACAAGAAGCCAGGGAATAGTGGACAAAAACAAGCATACCTCTTGACATAACTTTGACATCATTTGAAATCTCTGATCATCAGTCATATGCACCAGTAGAAATTTGTAAATCTTCATACGTTTATCACTTTTGTCTTTACCCTTTAGGGAGAATAGTTTCTTTTCCCTCTCAGTTTGAGGAAACTTGTTAAACACTGAAATACAGCAACAGCAGAAAAATTATGTATCAAACAAGTCAATGATGACATACTCCCTGTTTATATTATATATGCAAAATATATAATATGACCTAATGCCTAATGTATGTGTGAGGTTTAAAGTTGATTAGTCTAAGCAACATGTATGACGTATGGATCAGTGGAACAGCATTCGTTTAAAGATGACCAGTCAAACATTTTTGATTTCATGGTGACAAAAATAATGTGTTTGAAATTGAATGGTCCAGGCATGTCAAATATATGGATCAGAAACTTCATTTTGTGAAACAAAATGGCTACCACTTGCAATGGCCAATTTTATTTTGACCCGAAAAATAACACGACGTGTATCAAGGTCCCATTGTGTTCAAAGTATATACTAAGTTTTTAACCAAATTTTGATGCATTGTTGGCCTTAAAGTGGCTGCCATTCGGCCATCTTGAATCAGACCATAAACAAATTCATATGTGTATGTCTGATATAACATCTAACATATGTGTGAAGTTCAAACTTAACAGACCAAGCATGTGCGAGATATGGTTGCATATGGAAGGACAGACACACAGAGGTCATTCCATAAGTTTAATAACAAGTAATAAGTAACACTCACTGTTATGCAGCGCATATTGGTTGAAATGAAAGACAGACTCTAAGAAATGATTGAAGAACATATTGGGATGTCTCTTAATTAGCAAAGTACCAAGAGAAAATTCAGCTGAAAAAAAAAATATATATAAACATAAATTTACCTTTATTATGACATCAGATCTAATTGCAGGGCTTGACATGGAGGCATCCAAGGCAATTGGATTGATGCCCTATGGTTTTGCTTTGGTGCCCTTTAATTCCTGTATAATTCCAATATGTTATGTGCTAAGGCAATTTTATAAATTTAGGCCTTGAAAATGGGGGCCCTCTGAGTATAATCATATGCCAGATACAGATATTTGTATAGTGATTGTAATCACTTCACATAAATATATCAACTTTTAAAGAATATTTTATGATCGACTCAAAGAGCAGTTACACACTTTCATGTTTTAGGGCCTCTGAATTGTATGTTATGCACCAGTCTAATTCTGTGCAAGCCAAAATAACCTATATCAACACAGATTAAACATCTAACACATGCACTGATGTTATTACATAAAAACAATGAAATACCCACAATGTCATATTGGATTCTGAGTTAATTCCACACTCAATCACACTATCGTACATGGAATAAACTCTAATCCAATATGACGCTGTGAGGTGGCCAGAAGTGGCTGGCAATGCACCTTACCAAACTGACTGATTGTATCAACGTCATCAACAAGGGCAGAGGCAAATCGGAAAAACAAGGACCCTTTCCATTTAATGAAATCCTCCTGCAAAACAAATACACAATCTAAGTAAAACATTCTACAAAAGTACACATATTAAAGCCAGAATCAAGTTTTTGGTAAATATACATGTATATGACATTGTCCTCACCTTAAGTAAATGTGTAAGCATAAATAGTGTCTGTTGTCTCACCATGCTACTCTCATCTTTAACACACACTGCTATGTTTGGAACATATCGATCAACTAAATTTGGATACCTAGACAATAGTGGAAAAAAATGTATCTTGTATGTAATTAATATATCTTTTAGAACCACA